TAGGTTGTGACGTCACTGAAAGAAGAATAATGAGCATATTGTTTACTGTGTGTGATCAGGAGTAGCTTGTATCACCAGAATGAAGTTACTGCATGTGCACACACTCTGTCCCCGTCCTCCATGACCTCGTTCAGATCAAAGCTGGTGAACTGACACTGTGAGTTTCGGTGGTGGAAAAAGATCTACTTAGACTATGTGGGTTGCTGGTGTGACTTTCACTATCGGAGCTACTTTAGAGAATGTGTCTTTGAACCACGTGGAAAATCAACAGCAGCTAGGCCTGAGTCAAAGGGTTGGTTCTCATATACTGTTAGGGGTGAATGTTACTGACTTCAGTTCAAGAATAAAGAGCATTCAGAAAAAGTGGGAATCATCTATTGTGGAAATTTACAGAGATTGTTTCTGAGCCTTTAGGCTGCATAAAGAGAATAAAGTCTAAAGACTCAGTGGATGTTCTGTGCAATTAAAAAGTCTCTGCTTTCCTCTCTTCATGACAAAAGATCTCACGATCAACCTGCAGGGAAACATGTTTCTCCACTCCCCAGAAACAGTCACAGAAACCACTTCACGTTTACTTGCCTAACCCGGTCACTGAGGTGCACAGTCAGTGTTTTTTTTTTTTTTTTTCATTTTCATTTTCTCAAGTTTTGTTTTGTTTTTACCGGCCATGTTTGCTGACAGTGGCAGATCACTGATAGTGGAGTATGTCGGATCATTGGAGGTTGAGACACCTATTGGAAACATTTAAACATTGATCAATGACATCGAACTGACTTTTTGAGACACATCAGATTATATTACATCACATCAGGCTACAGTTATTAAATACAGGAAGGAATTCAATTAGCTGTAATGCTATGAAAAACAAACAAACAAACCTTAAAGGTGTTTTGATATTTACCTGGAAATGTTGCCAAACAGTAGGTAGCTGTTCCTGTATGTGCAACATAAATGGGGAGAAAAGAAAAATATTCATGTTCTTGTGTATGAAGACGCAAGATTATGAGAATTTAAAAAAAGGCTGGGAATGGGTCATGTTTGGATCCATGGTCTTTTACCGTCTTAGTGCCCAGCCCTTGTTACAAACTTTGAACGGGCTCAGTCACAGACAGAAAACCGTTTGATTCCTCACCATGTGAAAGCTGACACACTGGTACCTCCTGGATCTCTTCATAGACATTTAGATCTTCAGTTCCTACGAAAAAATGTTGTCAGTGTCACGATGTTGTACACGAGGTAACATGTAGATTAAAATACCTCCAATAAACCCAGTAATGGCTTTTAGGTCTTAGGGTTAGTTACTTTCCTATATTTACACATTTTGTATTCTTTAAAACTCAGGTTGTGATCAGTTTCACATATTTTCAGATCAGATTTTATTCACCTCGTCTTTTGGACCTTGACCTCAAAGTAAAGTAGCAGATGATGAAGATGATGATGAGGAGGAGGAGGAGGAAGGGGATGAGTACTCTATATAGCAAAGTAGTTCCCTGGTCTTCCCTGGCACCTGGTTTTCCACATGGAAAAGAAAAAAAAAAAGAAAACTAATGTGTTTCATGTTTGACACAGGGTGTGATGACATTTATGAAACATGTTGTAGTTGTTACTCTGTGGTTCTTTGTGGTGTTCAAACCTTCACTTGATGTTGTTGGTGTCGCTGTTGTTGTTGTTGATGTTGATGTTGTTTTTGTTGATGGCGTTGTTTTTGTTGTCGTTGTTGTTGGTGGTCGTGATGTCGTTGTTGTGGATGGCGTTGTTTTTGTTGATGGTGTTGTTTGTTGTTGGTGGTGGTGGTGGTGATGTTGTTGTTGTTGGTGGTGGTGGTCGTGATGTCGTAGTTGTTGTTGTTGGTGGTGGTGGTGGTCGTGATGTCGTAGTTGTTGTTGTTGGTGGTGGTGGTGGTCGTGATGTTGTTGTTGTTCGTGATGTTGTTGTTGTGTTGGTGGTGGTGGTGGTGGTGGTGGTCGTGTGATGTCGTTGTTGTTGTGGTTGGCGTTGTTTTAGTTGTTGATGGTGTCAGCGTACCTGTTGAATTGGGAATACATAGAACAGTATTGGATTTCTATTGAAATATCCACAGTTATGACCAGTGAAATCAGTAATAAAGAAAACCTAATGCTGGACAGAATAGAATAGAATAGAATAGAAAAGACTGTATTGATCCCAAAGGGAAATTCATTTTCAAATTTTTTTCAAGTTGACTAGTCTGCTGACCAAAACTACACACTAAAGATAATGATAGTATCAAAGGTAGCATGACATTGTGTTGAACCAGACAGAGTTGGACCAGCTGTTTAGCGCCATTAGCAGTCTTCAGCTGTACCATTTTACTTTATGGACAAATATGAAGGTTGTATGAGTCACAACATCGAGCTCTACATAAAGAAACTGCTTCACTCTGTCTTCCTCCATGTTTCTGTTCCTCCCCTCTGACATTTGTCTGTAACCTCTCTCACTTGTGGTGACGTTCAGATACACAGCTCCTCCTCCACAGTAGTACAGTCCAGAGTCGTCAAGCTGCACATTTGGTAGAGGTAACGTCTCGCCCAAATGAGAGACAGAACCTCTGATTGTCTCTTTTCTTCCAGCAACTTCTCTTCTCCATGTTTTATCATTTGATCTTCAGGACATTCAGAGTGATGTTGGTCATCTCTTGAGCATTTCTATTGGTGTTCCTGTACAGAGCAAATACAGAGTGAGACAATGTTAATGTTGTGTGATGTACAGTCATGACCTTTTCTCATGTTTAATGATAGATGTTGTGTAAACTAAGTTATGTGGAGAAGTGTTGTGTTGTTTAGCTCTCTGTCACTGATATAACTGAGGAGGACAAAATGCATCACAGTTTATCAGCATCACGATTTGCAGCCGCCACAATGATCAAAGAGTCCAGTTCACACTTCTCTAAAACAGGCTTCACACAAACTGAACACCTAAACCTTCCTAGTAAAACTGGTCACCAGCTGTGATAACACAGTATTTAACATGTTGAGCAGGAGGCTGTTGTCAAGTCGTCAGAAACTTTGAATCTGGACAGTAAAATAATCTTTGAAAAATCAACTTAAAGTTTGAAGCAGCTCATTAAAAATCCACATGTAACAACAGAAACATGAACAAGATTGATAAAGGTTGATGTTACCTGGTGGGATCACTGTCAGATCCACAGCTGGTTCATTGTTGCAGAAGTATCTTCCACTGTCTGAGACTTTAGCTCTCTGAATGTGCAGTGACTTATCTGCTAATGAACTGTATCGTTTGCCTGGATCATTGTATCTTATGTCTCCATCAACAGCAGTGGTAAGAATCTTAACCTGAGCTCCATTGATCTCTCTGCTCCACGTCACTGAACCCTCCACAGTTTGAGGACAAGGCAGATTGACTCCATGTCTCTCCTCAACAACTATGGATTTTATTCCTGCAAAAGAAACAATTTCTTTTCAATTTATAAAACATCAATTTTAAAACAACTAGCTTTTCTTAGATTGTGACCAAAACTAGTGGATGAGTTATCTGATGCAGAAAGTGCTTGTTAAAATTGAACTGATGTTTGGTGACAATGCAGTGTGAGTGAGGTTTTCACACCTCACACACCACCCGAGTTTGAGCACAGGAGCACGGGTGGGTGGGGAAGTTGTTTGTTCTTTTGTTTAATTATTTTTTGTTTAGATGGTCCAATTGGATTCATATGAAGCTTAATGCGTGTCCCACAGTGTTTATGGGCTCAGATCCTGCTCTCCTTCACTGCACTGAGATGCTTTTTGGTGTTTAAAGCTCAGGATATTTGACGTGTGGTTGTGTGAAGCAGCAGGAGCACCAGCACAGAAGCTGCAAAGCGATGTACGTGTTCAGTAAAAAAAAAAAAAACCTCCCAGCTTCTCTCTGGTGGTGAACTGACTCGTGCCTCAAACAACCACATGTCAGATAACTCCGGCTGTCACTTCAAATTACAAATACATCTCCCTGTGGATCAAACCTTCAAAGATAACACACATAAAGCGTAAAATACAAAACCTTAAAGGAAAGAGTAAAGTTGAATAAAACTACAATGACTGGTCCATCGACAGAAAATGAATCGATAGTGAAAATAATTTTCTTATTCTTCAACAAAACCCATGAAAACACAGAATCAAACAGCGTGTTAGTTTGTCTCTCAGTCAGCCGTGAACCTTATGTACTTGTACTTGTTCTTTCACTAACTGAAAATAGTGTAAAAACACTGTGGTTTTCCACGGTCAACACATCGAAAAAAAAAAAAAGAAACAACACAGAAATGTTATATGAGTATTTTATAGGATTATTGATGGATTTATAAAAGTCCTCACCTGCAGAGACGTTACAGCTCAGGACGAAGGCCAACAGGACGCTGCAGATCTTGATCCTCATCCTGACACACACTGAAATGAAAAGGACAGATCAGACCACACTGTCTAAGTGAGATGAGAACAGGAACTCAGCTGTTTGAGTGTATGTTTGTTCCTCTTCTACCACATCGACACGTCACATCAAAAACCACACTGGCAGCTCACATTAATGTATCTGTAAATGTCTTGCAAACAACCCTCTGCATGTCAAGAATTACAATCTTAGATCTGGAATATGACAATGTTTTAGGGTTAGATAAAGTTAAAGCTACTTTTGATTATCAGTTTAATTTGTTCTTGTTCACAGTAATAGATAAAAAAAAGGTCAAAGATTCAATGACACGAGCTTAAATTGAATTGCTCCATTCAAGAATCACATGCGAGGCATGTTTGAAAATGTGTTGGCCGAGTCAGCGTGCCTCACAACAGGAAACAGAGGACACACTACATATCACACATGCAGTACACTTTTTTCTGTGCAAACCATTTGTTAAGATGTGGCGTTGAGGATAAATGACTATTTATGGGTTCAGACTCGTCTATGTTAAGATGTCCGACTCGATTCACGCAGCAGCATCATTACACTTGACTTAACTTTCATTGGTCATGAGAAAGCTGAATTTAGAAATATTCAAGGGCACAGACATGGTGCAGTGGTTAGCATGGCTGCCTTGCAACATGATGGTCCTGGGCTTGAACCCCAGGCCTGGGGGAGTCCACGAAGACACACACACTAGGTTGACTGGTGTCTCTACACTGTGCTTGCATTGTGTCACTGTGCTCAGTGCAGTTCACAGATTTAGCTACTAGGTCATTTGTGTTCATCTGATTCTATTGATGTTTCCTCTATTTAAGGATACAGCGTGTTAACAGCCTTTTCCCGGTGAGTCATAACTCTCACTGCTATGAAAGCGTGCTTGTAGAGGAAGTGATTGTAAGTTGGGAACAAAGATATTTTCATGTTCAAGTGATGGCAAACAGCTTCACTCACAGAATACAGGAAACCAAGTGGCAGCAAACAAACAGGAACAGATGATAATAATATAATCACCCATTTAGTTGCACAATCAGGTCATCCGTAAGTCATGCAACGAGAACCAATGAAGAGAAGAAAAGTTTGGCCACAGTTTGTCTTTTGACAAAGTTTCCACAGCTCAGACAAAACAGCAACACAATGAGAATGAGAGCAGGCTGGACAGACAGGAAAACAAAACCACAGCAAGCTTGTACAGAGTTTCAGTTCATTATTAGATCAGACTTTTAGGAAAGAAAAAAAAAACATTGTAATGGTTGAATGTGAGAAAACATGCAGCTGGGGTCAGTTGGTGGTTTTTCCTGCAACAGAAAGTAAAACTTTCTTTTCAGTGAAGCGGGTGAGGGATGGTTCCTTTAAAACCCTTTCACACCACCCAACACTGAAATAAACCTCATTAGGGCCAAACCTCATCAAACGTCCCCCACAAGCACGTAATGCTTGGATAATGTTGTGGAAACCTCTTGCTGAAGAGCGTCACCTCATTCTTGTTAGACAGGACGATGAATAACCACAGACATAATGAAGACTGGTGATATCGAAGGTTGCATTAGATTTGGTTTTTGCTAAACTAACCTCATCTTGATGGAAGCTGACCGCTTTCAGACACATTTTCTGTCAGTTGTTCCACATAGTCTCATTTATACGCTGGGTAACAGCAGGTTGGAGTAAAACAACCGATGTTCACATTTACACATTGAGGACAGTTCATATACAGTGTCATACAGTTAGAAGGAGCAGACTTAGCTGTCTTCTAGTCTCTAGGACCACTCAAAGCACTTTACGCTGTATGTCACATTCACCCTTTCACACACCCAGAGCACACATCGGGGACATGTGTGGGTTGAGTATCAACATGTGGAATCAAACCAGCAACCTTTGGGTTAGTAAACGCACTCCGCCTCCTGAACCACAGCCGCACTGTAACCGTCTGTCTTGCTATTTTTGTAATGGCAGCACTGTGGGTGTGCAGTGTATCTAGGAGGCCACATCTTGTCTGTTTGCCTGTTGCCTCTTGTGCATCTGTCTTGTCCCTGTCCTGAAACTTAAAGTGATAAAACAGAAGGTGAAAGAGAAACGTTTTCCTTGTGCAAACTTTCTCTTTCACCTTCTCTGTCTCTCTCTCACAGATGTGAAACACACACTTTAAGATTCAGTGTGACTTCAACTTTCAGAGGATTTATCCATATTGTGCATCTTGCTTGAACATTTTTGAGTTTTTCTTCAGTGTCACAGTAATTTGTGCACTACAGAGCAACTCATAAACGCTTGTGCAGGGTTTGGGGAAGGCTTAACAAACACTGGCTGCAAAGAAGACAGTAGTAGCAGGGCTCACAGCCAACCTTAACCACAGTGTCAAACATCACTTCCTTTGTATTGTGTGACTCTGCCTTTTCACCCTTGCTGGGTGTGAGAGCAGCCGACAGACGCTGGGCAACAGACCATACATTTATATCATTACCACTGTGAAGCACATAGGCAGCATCTGATCAACTGATCTCTTCTTATGAACTCAGTGTGTACATTTAGTTTAGCACAACTGTCAAAAGCACCACTTTAGCACGACATGGTGTGACTTGATGTTCCTCTCCGGACGTGTTTTGACGTTTTATTGAACATGGTTTTCAATCATAGTTAAAGTCATAGTCAAATGTCAGAGTTGTTTGTATAGCACATTAAAAACAACCACAGTGCTGTACAGGATTGATCAAACAATGCAAGTCTGGTCGCTAGCCCTCCTCCTCCTGGCCATGTGCATTTGCATTTGTAGTCTTATCTGTCATAAACAAGACATTATGGATTTCGGGGCGCGTTAGTGTCGTGGTGCTGCAGAGATGAGAGCTGAGACACCAGGGCGTTGGTTTTCGGCCAAGAGATGGGAGGTGGAAGGCAGAGAGCCTCCGTTCTCCCTGTAACAAGTTCCCATCAGTTATTTAACCATCAAAAATCCTGCTGAGTTCCTCTTTAAAACAGTAGCCAAACAGTTCAAACATACCAAAATACACATTCATGCTCCAATTCCTTACACATGCAGTACTGAAATACCATGTTAAAGGCCAAAGAGAAGAGGTGGGTCTTCAGCAAAGACTTGAACTGTTGGATGTTTTTAAAAAAGCAACAACAAAAAAAAAAGGGAAACACTGGATCTGAGAGGTGTGGACTCTTATTTCCTCATCCTGACACAGTGTTTGTGTTAATGCCACCAAACTCTCACGGTCTGTCCTGGAACGGTTCCAGGTTTATTGTCTCCAACATATGCAGCTGTTAGTTTGACACGAGAAAAGAAGAACTGATACTTCAAAGTGTGAAGCTGTGAGAGGAGGATGAATCTGTCTGTAGTGACGACACTGTTGATTCGATGGTCTTTACTTCCAAGTGTGACATGAAGGGAAAAGGTGTTTTCATGTGTCATCAAGGTCAAACAGAACAAGAAACCCAACAAAAACAGCTCCACCCACCGCCCACTGAGTTTTATATATTATTAACCCTTTCATGGGTTCATGTGTCATTTTAGCAGGAGGTCATGCAACAGCACGATGACTCTGTTTCTAAGTACTACTTACTACCACAGTGTGTCTTTGTCAGCTCCCAGTAGCAGGTTGGCTTTTATTACCCACCTGAGTAGAAGTGAACAAGTTGTGCATTTAATGTGCGTGTGTGTGTGTGTGTGTGTGTGTGTGAGTGTAGGCATTTAGACATTTAATCAGACTTGTGTTGTGGTGGAAGTTTTGTAGAAACATTACAGGTAACTGCAGACCTGATGGACTGTACCAGCCTTTATTCATGATTTATTAACATTTGTAAAATGATTTAACATCATTTATAACTGCATCATTACGAAATACAAGCACGGGCCATGTTCTTCATTCTACATTTTCATAGTTGCTTTCATCCACAGGAGGAGGAGTTTGGAGAGGAGGTGCAAGAGATTCTTCCAGTTTCTCCTTCTGTATCTGTTGAGCTGCAAAAGACGGAGACCAAACATGGAGATGATGGAGGAGATGTCAGCAACAGCACCACCAAGTGGCTGTTTAAGAAGCCTACAACATTGGAGGTATGACTCTATAATAGATCTTCTATAATCCTCAGATTTCATGGATTTCATCCAGATCTGATGCAGTAAACATCAGATTTCTCAGCTTCAGCTGTTTTGCAATTTCAAATGCAGAAAACCAAACACAGGTCAAACTATATTCACCTTTTCTCTGGGTGACGACGATGATGCTGATCATGGTGATTAGATAGAGTATCACAAGCACCGTGCGAACAGGCATCTGCCACGGGTCAGAGGAAGCTGGAGAAGCTGAAGCTGTTGGTGATGAAACAGAAGCTTTCAGACATGTTCACCTTATTCTATATGAATAACTCACCAGCCTTCTCTGTGTTACAGGTTTCCACAGTGTCACTGATGTGCTGGACTGAACACAGATCAACAAGCACATGGAGGTGAGTTTGTGAACAGTAACCACAGTAAAATGACTTATGACCCCTGTCAATGACATAAATTACATATAGGGATCTTCTCATTGTTTCAGATGTGTTTCATGTTTGACAGAGGGTGTGATGACATTTATGAAACATGTTGTAGTTGTAGTCTGTGGTTCTTTGTGGGTTCAAACCTCACTTGTTGTTGTTGGTGTCGCTGTTGTTGATGTTGTTGATGTTGTTTTTGTTGATGGCATTGTTTTTGTTGTCGTTGTTGTTGGTGGTCGTGATGTCGTGTTGTGGTGGTGGTGGTCGTGATGTCGTTGTTGTTGTTGTTGGTGGTGGTCGTGATGTCGTTGTTGTTGTGGTTGATGGTGTCAGCATACCTGTTGAATTGGGAATACATAGAACAGTATTGGATTTCTATTGAAATATCCACATTATGACCAGTGAAATCAGTAATAAAGAAAACCTTAATGCTGGACAGAATAGAATAGAATAGAATAGAAAAGACTGTATTGATCCCAAAGGGAAATTCATTTTCAATTTTTTTCAAGTTCACTAGTCTGTTGACCAAAACTACACACTAAAGATAAATGATAGTATCAAAGGTAGCATGACGTTGGTGTTGAACCAGACAGAGTCGGACCAGCTGTTTAGCGCCATTAGCAGTCTTCAGCTGTGCCATTTTTACTTTATAGACAAATATGAAGGTTGTATGAGTCACAACATCGAGCTCTACATAAAGAAACTGCTCCACTCTGTCTTTTCTCCCCCCATGTTTCTGTTCCTCCCCTCTGACATTTTGTCTCGAACCTCTCTCACTTGTGAAGACATTCAGATACATTCAGACAGTCTTAATGTTGTGTGATGTACAGTCATGACCTTTTCTCATGTTTAATGATAGATGTTGTGTAAACTAAGTTATGTGGAGAAGTGTTGTGTTGTTTAGCTCTCTGTCACTGATATAACTGAGGAGGACAAAATGCATCACAATTATCAGTATGACGATCTGCAGCCGCCACAATGATCAAAGAGTCCAATTCACACTTCTCTAAAACAGGCTTCACACAAACTGAACACCTAAACCTTCCTAGTAAAACTGGTCACCAGCTGTGATAACACAGTATTTAACATGTTGAGCAGGAGGCTGTTGTCAAGTCGTCAGAAACTTTGAATCTGGACAGTAAAATAATCTTTAAAAAAATCAACTTAAAGTTTGAAGCAGTCATTAAAATCCACATGTAACAAC